GAGAGCGGCGCGTCGATGTTGAAGCTGTTGGGCAGGCCGTGCGTCAAGATCTTGGCCTCGTTGCGAAGCGCAATGTAGTTGTTCTGGTAGTACTGCTGCTTTTCGATCTCGGCGGCAATGGCGGGCGGCGGCGGAGCCGAGATGATGGGGTCGTGGGTGTCTGCGCGGTGGTGGCGACCGAGCCTCATGGGCTCGCCAGGGTGCCTAGGCTGGCGCGTTCCCGTGGTGCGCCTGCGATGCAGATCGCCTTCGGGGCCGTCGGCGGTGAAGTCGGAGGAGTGCGGCGAGCGAGATCGGTAGGGAAGACTGACGGCGGCCGAGGTGGTTTGGGCGCCGTCGAACTGGAGCGGGGTTGGCAGGTCGATGGCGGCAGTGTCGTGCGAGGCGAGCGATGAGGTCTCGAATGTGGTGTGGTGGGAGCGATTGTAGCGGGGCTCGGCGAGGCTGGACAGCGCTGCTGCTTGTGCGCCAGGAACGTGGGACATGAGAGCCGAGGAGGCGAGGCTGACGCCGAGGCCCATCTCGAGGCCGGCGGCGACGACGCTGCTGACTTCGATGGGCGAAGTGCCGACGGCCGAGACGGCAGCATGTGGTGGTGGCGTGATGCCCTCGACCTTGCCGACTTCGTAGAGCGTGGACTTGGAGAAGGCGGGTGCTGGCGCGGTGTCGAGCATCGGATCAGGCCTCGCCGAGGGGATGTGCGGCAGCTCGTCGAGGCTGGCGAGGGCATGTGCGCTGCGCCTTCTTGTGCCGAGCGGGTAGGACTGGTCCTGCATGTGCGCAAACGTCTGTGCGGGCGCCGAAGGGGTGAGATCGTTGTCCATCGAGCCCATGGTGACAAAGGCGTCGATGACGGGCATGCTTTGCAAAGAGCGGCGCGCGCGCGAGGAGCGATCGGTGGTGGTGTTCAAGGGCGTGCGAGGGATGGCATCGAACACAGCGGCTTGAAGCGGGGCGCGTGGAGCGCAAGCAGAATCGTGAATGCGGTGCGAAGAGTCGAGGCTCGCAAGGCCAAGACACTAGTGCGAGAGGGTGGTTGAAAAGAATTGACGATACAGACTCGGCTCCGAGCGATCGGCAGTTGGGCGGTGGGAGACGGCGACCAGGCGTGCGAGGCTCTAGAGGCGCAAGCGCAAGAAGCGGTGGACGTGCCGGTGGATTTCAGGGACGGGTGCCGAAGCTGTACTCGGTTGAGGGGCGTAGTGGGCGCGCACGAGACTGTCACCGCAGGAGCGAGGGCGTGCGGGGCACGAGATGAAGTGGGCTGCGGTACGGCGGCGCGGTGAAGAGGCGTAGTGAAGCAGCGGTGCGTTTCAATGCGCGCGGTTGATGAAAGGGCGAGGCAGAAGTCGAACGAAGGCGATGTATGCCAATGCCAGTGTCAGTGCCAGCAGGGAGAGTGACCGCGATCGTTGGGCGTAGGAGAGACTTTGCTGCACCTTGTTATGAAGCGGTCTGCCTTGTTTGCGTGGCAGCGAGCGTATCCGCAAGTCAAGCGTGGAAGATCGCGACGAGGCGAGGCTAGGCGAGGCGAGGCGAGGAATGCAGAGAAGATGCTGGAAGGGAGAGATGTTGTGGATGAGGACCGGGGGAGGAGGAGGAGGGATGGAGGCCGAGGCGTGGCTGAGCGGAAGATGGGGGGGAGGCGGCCATGAGGATCGCGTGGGATCGAGCAGAGTGGTGTTGGCGAGCCCGGCTGACAGCGCTCTCCGCGGCGACGAGCAGCGAGTCCGAGCAGCGAGGCCGGAGCGGCGGAATGCTGCTGCTGCTGAGCAGGGCCGTCCGTTGGAGCGTGCGTGCGTGGCTGCCTAGCCAGTGCTGCGATTTCTGCCTTTGAGCCAAGCCAGCCTCTGAAACCGCACCGCTAGGTCGATGCAGCTGCGTTACCCACGGCTGCCTCCATCCAACCCCACCCCATCAACCCAGGCGCACGGCAGCGCAGCGCGTCGCAGCGCATCGCATCGCAGCGCCCCCCCCTTCGGAATTGCGCGAATTTCTGAATTTTGAGGGTTCGCTTGGCAGACCAGCCGAGCCTGTCTGTGGCCCTGAACTCTGAACTCAAGATTGACTCGCAGCCCTTGATGCTTAAAAATTAAGAACCCAAAACAAAAATGAAATGAAATGAAAGAAAAAGAAAAAGAAAAAAGAGACTTTTTGGATCACGGCGAATTTTCCAGAGCGGTTGCAACGCTTCCACACGGGCGCGCCGGTAAGCCAGCCTGACAAGGGTTGAGAGAACCAGCTGACTCGGTTGCGATCGCGAGTCGGATCAGCGCGTGCATCTGGCTCAAAAAAATAAAAATAAAAAAGATAGCCTGTCAGCGCTGGCCAGACACCACTCGATCCGCGGGTGGCAGGCGGGTTGCAAGGCTTCGGCATGACAACGTCGCAACCACGCTTGGTGCTGCGGGCCATGTTGTCAGAACATGTGGCTGGGCGTGCAGCCAGGCCGGCGCCTTCGAAGTTGCCGCAGTGTCACAGTAGCATCGGCGCCGTCACGTTCCGTAGCAGTGGCAGCCAAGGACGATGGAGGTGTGCGATGCCAAGAATAGCTCGAGTGCGCTCTACAGTACACTAGCTCGCAACTTGCTCGGGAAGCCGCTTCGAGTCCAGGCGCTGTCGGACGCTGTTGAGCGTTGTTCGGAAAAGAGGGGTCGCGGCCCGGTCCCCCTTTTTCGAGCGCCGCCGCTGCCGTCCCAACATCCCCCCCACGCGCTGGTGCGGCGTGCAAACACACGCGTAAGGCCGCCATCACATGTCAAGACCACGCCGCCGCTTTCCGCACACACTCTCGGATCGCAGCTGGGTGGGATTGAAAAAGTGGTTCCGCGCGCAACGCCGCCTTGCCGTGCGGAAGCGTGCGTCCGAAGCGTGGTCTCGGCTGCGCCGGTTCGCTCATCCGGTCTTTCATCCGCTCAGTAGTCTACCGCCGCTGCGCTGCGCAGTGTCAATTTTCCATTTTCCGTGGCTCGACACCCTCTAGCCGCCTTCTTTTCGCAGCCGAGCTGCCCGCGCAGCTGCACCGTCCATCGTCTTCTTTCGCCTAGCCGGTCTTGCTCTTGCATACATCGGAGCGGCCTCAGTCTTGAACCACGCTCGGAATCCAGACCGGTCCTCGGCGCTTCCGGGCGTTTGTGCCGCTTTCTCTCGTTTTCTCCGGCTTCGATGCACGCTCATTGTCTCGTCTCCTTCGGCATCGCTGCGTGTTGCCGGTGGGCAGAGAGGTGCATAGGTGTGCATGCATCGTCCAAGATCCGTGTTGCTTGCCGGGCCGCTCGATTCCGCATCTTCAGTGCCCAAAAAAAGAAAAAGCACAGCAACCCAAACCGCAGCTTGCGTGCAGTGCAGTGCAATGCATGCGAAAGACAAGCTTGTTGCACCTTGTGCATGCGTCGATGTGCACATGAGCCGATGCGGACACATCGGCTTCATCTCGTCTATGATAGCAACGTGCTGAGTCGGCTCGGAAGCTGTCGTCGCAAAAACAGAGATATGCTGGGCAACCATCGGCGGCAGTGACAAGCGGCAGACCAGCCGTCAGCTGCAAGGGCAACGTCTCGAACAACGCTAATCCTAGCCGAGCCAGGACAAAGAACTTGCCGCCCAAGCTCCCAGGTCGAGCCGAGTCCGCGGCGCGGCGTCTTGCAAATGAAATTCCTAATTTTTCGATGCTGTTAGAGTATAGACTTTTTCGAACGCTGTTAGGGTGAGCTCTTCAACAATCGTCCTTTACGGTCGCCGCCTCTCCACTTTTTTTTTCTCGGGAATCGCTTCTTCCGCTGCTCAAAGCCATCCAGCGCTCAAGAAAATTTCGAACCCTGGAAGAGAAGAAAGAGCGCTGAGCGTAGACTCTTCGACTCTTGCTCGACCCCAGCTCTGCTCCATCATACTTACGGTCCTCCATTCCAGCATCATCGTCCGTCCCCGCTCCGCCCCTTTGCCACCGTCGATCACCTTCACTGCACGCTCGCACCCTCTCTGCACGCTTTGGTCCCCCGCGTCAAGGCTCGCTTGTGGCGCCTTCGACCTCCGCCACCATGAGGAAGCAGCTCGACCCACGCATCCCCACCCTCATCCGCAACAATGTCGCCCTCAACCACCGCTCCTTCTTCGTCATCGTCGGCGACAAGGGTAAGGACCAGGTGGTCAACCTCCACTTCCTACTCTCCCAGTCTCGCGTACAGTCTCGTCCCAACGTGCTCTGGTGCTACAAGAAGGACCTCGGCTTCACCACCCACCGCAAGAAGCGCGAGCAAAAGATCAAAAACGACATCAAGCGCGGCGTCCGCGAGAAGGGCGAAGGCGATCCCTTCGAGCTCTTTGTCAGCCTCACAGACATCCGCTACTGCTACTACAAGGACACGCCCAAGATCCTCGGCCAGACCTACGGCATGCTCATCCTTCAGGACTTTGAGGCAGTCACGCCCAACATGCTCGCGCGCACCATCGAGACCGTCGAGGGCGGCGGTGTCGTCATCCTCCTTCTCAAGACCATGTCCAGCTTGAGACAGCTCTACTCGCTCGGCATGGACGTGCACCGCAGCTACCGCTCCAACGCCTCCGACGACGACCCCGTCGCACGCTTCAACGAGCGATTCCTCCTCTCCCTCGGCGCCACACACGACACGCTTCTGCTCGACGACGAGCTCAACGTCCTCCCTCTCAGCAAGGCCAAGGACATCAAACCTTTGCCCGAGACCAGCACTGGCACCGGCACCGGCGTCGGCTCCACCGTCCGCAAGGGCAAGGAGCGCGTCAAGGCCGAAGAGGAGCTCGCCGAGCTCAAGGACCAGGTGCGCGAAACAAAGGTCGTCGGTGAAGTCGTCCGCCACGCAAAGACGCTCGACCAGGCCAAAGCCGTGCTCACCATTCTCGACATCCTCGCCAGCTCCTCGCTCTCCACCACCGTCGCACTCACCGCCGCGCGTGGTCGTGGCAAATCGGCGGCGCTGGGTCTCTGCATCGCCGCCGCCGTCGCCCATGGCTACAGCAACATCTTTGTCACCTCGCCCAGCCCCGAGAACCTCAAGACGCTCTTCGAGTTTGTCTTCAAGGGTCTCGATGCGCTCGGCTACGACGAGGTCGCAGATTGGGACCTTCAGCGCGGCACGGGCGAGTGGAAGGACGTCGTCGTCCGCGTCAACATCTTCCGCGGACACCGTCAGACCATCCAGTACATCCAGCCGCAGGACCACCAGGTGCTTGGCCAGGCCGAGCTCGTCGTCATCGATGAGGCCGCCGCCATCCCGCTCCCGCTCGTGCGAAACCTCATGGGGCCCTACCTCGTCTTCCTCTCCTCCACCATCAACGGCTACGAGGGCACCGGTCGCAGCCTCTCGCTCAAGCTCATCCAGCAGCTGCGCGACAACGCGCGCGGCGTGGCCAGCGCATCTGCGGACGACAGTGCTGCATCGTCCAGCAAGGCGTCTGGCAAGGATGGCAAGGGCAGTCTCAGCACTGGCCGTGCAGCAGGCGCCGCACTGGCAGCACGCTCGCTCAAGGAGGTCGAGCTCAAGGAGCCCATCCGATACTCGCGCGGCGACCAGATCGAATCGTGGCTCCACCAGCTGCTGTGTCTCGATGCCTCGCTCACGCGCACCTCCTCGGCCGCACTCAAGGCCAAGGGCTGTCCGCACCCGTCGTCGTGCGACCTGTACATGGTGAACCGCGACGCGCTCTTCAGCTACCACCCGGCGTCCGAGCTCTTCCTGCAGCGCATGATGGCGCTGTATGTGGCGAGCCACTACAAGAACTCGCCCAACGACTTGCAGCTCATGAGCGATGCGCCCGGTCATCGGCTGTTTGTGCTGCTCGCCCCACTCAAGCCCGGCGAGGGCGGCCTTCCGGAGCCGCTCTGTGTGGTTCAGGTCGCACTCGAAGGCAACATCAGCCGCGGGGCGGTGCTCAACAGTCTCAGCCGCGGCACGCGCGAGGCAGGTGACCTTATCCCCTGGCTTGTGGCGCAGCAGTTCCAGGATGCCGACTTTGCGTCGCTCTCGGGCGCACGCGTGGTGCGCATCGCAGTGCACCCGGACTACGCACGCATGGGCTACGGCGCACGCGCACTGCAGGCGCTCGAGGCGTTCTACACCGGCCAACTGCTCGACCTCGACAACGTGCGCGACGATCTGGATGACGGCGAGACCTTTGCCGCCGTGCGTGACCGCAAGATCACCAAGGACACGAGTTTGTTGCAGGGCGACGAGATCCGGGTGCGTGATGCGGCACGTATGCCTGCGCTGCTGCAGCGACTGTCGGAACGCAGACCCGAACAGCTCGACTGGCTCGGTGTGTCGTACGGCCTCACACCGCAGCTGTTCAAGTTTTGGAAGAAGGCGGGCTACACGCCGCTCTGGGTGCGTCAGATCGCCAACGACCTGACGGGCGAGTATACGGCGGTGCAGCTCAAGGCGCTCGACACGTCCACCTCCACCACCGGCTCGGCATGGCTCGGTGCGCTCGCCGCCGATTTCCGCAAACGCTTTGTGGCTCTGCTCTCGTACAGGTTCCGCGACTTTGCCACGGTCACGGCGCTGACGGTGCTCGAAGCCGCAACGCACGGCGCCAAGCTCGGCGAGACGGAAGCCGAGATCTCAACTTCGGCACCGCTGGGAGCTGTCGAGCTGCGCACGCTGCTCACGCCGTTCGACATGAAACGGCTCGAGTCGTATGCGAACAACATGGTGGAGCTGTCGGTGGTGTTGGACCTCATGCCCACGCTTGCTGCGCTCTACTTTAACAATCGCCTGCGTGCGGTGCGCGAGGACGAAGCGGCTGCTTCGGCGATCAACGCGGCCGAGGAGGAGGAGGAACTGCGTCTTTCCGGCTTGCAGTCGTCGCTGTTGCTGGCGATTGGGCTGCAGAGGAAGACACCCGACGAGATTACGGCTGAATTGAGGTTGCCTCTGCAGCAGGCGCTTGCGCTGTTCGTCAAGACCGTCAGGCTGCTCGTCAAGAGTCTGCGCAAGGTCGAGAAGGCGGCGATCGCGCACGATATGCCCGAACTCGGCGCCGGACTCGATGCGCGTGCGCCGCTGCGCAGGAAGGCTAACGGTTCAGAGGGTGGCGACTGGTCGGCGCTCAAGGGCGATTTGAACTCCGAACTGCGCGATGCAGGCCGTGACTTCCTCGCCCAACACAAAGCTCAAGCCAACCCCGAACTCGACGACGACAATGCTGACGACGATGACGAGGATGATGATGAGAAGGATGAGGAGGATGAGGAGCTGCGCGTGGCCAAGCAGAAGCTGATTGACGAGATGAACTTGTCCAAATACGCCATCAAGGACGATGCTGACGGCAGCACCGACTGGAGCCAGGCAGAGGCCGAGGTGGCCAACCGGCTGCGAAAGAGCGGCAACGACCTGTCGAGCATCAACACCACCGTCTCGGTCAAGGGCGCCAAGCGTGCCGTCGACGACGGCGACAAGTCCGACTCGCCCAAAAAGGGCGCCGACAAAAAGGGCAAGAGCAAGAAGCAAAAGCGCCGCTAAGTGCCTCCTCCCGGCCCCGAGCTCGTATTCAGAGTCAATACCAAATGTCACACCTCTAGCACCATCTGCATGCTTGTGTTGAGGACAAAAGGGTATCATTGCGTGTCTAGTGTTGTGGCGTGGTCGAGGTCGGTGAGGTCATCGTCCTCAAGAGGCACTCGAGTGTCTATGTCGAGGATGGACTTGGGGATGGCCCAGATGAGGTTGCGTCCCAGGGCGGCGCTGCGGTTGATCCAGGCTGGCAGCGCGGCGCCCGTCAAGCGCCGACATACTGTGTCGGCAAAGTGGTTGCAGTTGTGCGAGACGAGATCGTACGTCGGGCCCATCCAGTCCGCGTCGTTGCGCAGCTCCTGCATCGTGGCTTGCACGTGCGCGACCGATGCCAGACGCGCACCGCGATGCCGAGGATGTCGTCCATCGGATCTCCCCTCCGCATGCTTGCTCGGGCTCTGCGGCGTTGCCGATATAGAATGTAGATATGTAGCGCCTCCTCTGCGGGCAAGCACGGACGATGCATGTGTAAAGTAAGGCTCGACCAAAGCGGCTGGCTCACGAAAAGCAGCTTTGCCAGATTGCGCACTTGCCCACGGCTGCACCTCTGCGTGCGGCCGTGAAGGCTGTCCGACACGGCCCGCGTATCCGACAAAGTACGCGCCCATGTACTGTGCGCCTGGTAGCGGTGGTGATCCTGGTGCGGGGATGTCCTCGGGGCGCAGCCACGACAACCCATCGAGCGTATAAGATTTCTCTGCCAACACTGCAGCCGAATCGTCGCTCACGGCGGCAAGGACGCGCTCATGCACTGCATCCAGCACGATCGGATCGCGCGGGATCGAAAAGATGCCGCTCACATCGCGGTAGCCATGACCTCCGAACGCCCACTCCACCGACAGATCGGGGAACCAGACGTTGGTGTGAAAGATGCCCAGCCCCAACCCGCGCGCCGCACTCGTCCACATTGATGACGGCGTGAGGTCCCACACGGTCACGTACACCGGCGTGCCGTGGCTCGAGGCATGCTCTGGATCCAGTATCCGCGTCATCGTCCCGAAACTTCCCGCTTCTTACCGCCGAGATGAGATGGTGGTGGTGGTTCCGCATGACAGAAAGGCGCACGCCGGGATGTCGATCCTTCGCGCGGTCCATGCGCAGACGTGCAGCCTCCTGCAGATGGCGCTGCAGGGAAGCTCTTTTCGCCTTTTTTTCTCCCGCCAGCTCCGCAAGCCAAGGGTCCACCCTCCTCTTTGACACCTCGCCCTCGAGTGCAATTTTCTGCCGGGCAATCAACAGAAAAGAGCATACTGTCTGCGTCACCCTTCTCCGTCGGTTGGAAGAGGTACAAAAGCGTCGCAAGAATGAGCTCAAGAGCCAAGCTACATTTTGCGCCTACCGACGAGCGTTGGGGCTCAAGCGCAGCACGAGCCAACGTTGAATTGGAAGAGGCAACAGAAATGGCCACCAAGATGACTACTGTAAAAATGGGGTTGTCACACAGCGCCCGCAGGCGAACTGAGCCATTTTCTTTCTTATGATTTGAGCCGGCCCAGTCTGGCTGCGCCAAAAGAAAATCAAAAATGAAAGGATCCAAGGTTGTCCCCACCAAAAATCGGTGGGCACGTCACTTCTGGCGCATTTTCCTGGCTGGGCTTGGGATGGCAGAGGATTCAAGTCGAAAAAGGTTGCCGGAAAAAAAAGACGTGCCAAAACCGTCGGATCAGACGCCTTTTTTTGGGGGAATTGGTCAGGTCGGCCGCGCTGTCTCTCAGCTTGCGAATTCAATTTTTGACTCGTCTCCTCCCAAGTGAATTACAATTCAGCCATAATTATTATTAATAAAAATCAAGCTGGCTCGATTCGCCTTTTCATTTTCTCTTTTTTGGCTTTTTCCTCGAAAAAGGCGGTGGCCCACTTTCAGATTCGGGATCGAGACTGCTTGCCCGGCCAGCCTCGTGTCCATCCGTCCCTCCGCACACCATCATCTCGATCCATCCGCTTCTTGGTCGTCCCTGACCGGGTTTTCCTCGAGCGCCTCGCACCGTACGATTTCCTCCGACGGAGCAGTGCAGATTGCCGTCTCCAATTCGCATTCCAACCGCATTTCACGAGTCGCGCCGCGCCGATCCGACTTCCGGACGCCCACCTAGCCGTGCCATTTCGGCATCTAAGCCACCATGCCGTACCGCATCGAATACGCCAACTCGAATCGCGCCGGATGCAAAGGCCCCAAGCCATGCTTCGGCACCAAGATCATGAAGGGCGAGCTGCGCCTGGGCAGTCTGATCGAGATCCAGGGCAGTCAGAGCTTCCACTGGCGACACTGGGGTTGGTGAGTATTCTTTTGACACCTGCGCGCGCGCGCCCACTCCCGCACCCGCACTCCTTTCCCGCACTGGCTGCGCTTTCCGCACTGCACTGCACTGCACTGCAACGCACCACCCTTTCTGCTGCGCGTGCGCGTCGATTTTCTTATTTTCGCCAACTTCAACTTTACTCACACCACACCGCTGACACCTTTCCCTCTCGCTCCGACCTCGCCTTCGTCGCGATGCCACGTATCCGCTTTGCTACGACGTCCGATAGCACCACGCCCAAGATCATTCAGAACATCCAGGAGAAGGACGGCATTTCCGACCCCGCTGACCTGGTAAGTGCGAAAAAAGCCGACATCAATCGAGCAATTTCGTTCCAATTCTGACGCCTGACCTCCCAAAAATATTCGAAAAATTCCGTGCCTCCATCGGCACTGGTGCATTTTTTGTCCATCTTGCACGATTGCTTGCTCGTTGCTCAGGATGGCTACGAGGAGCTGCTGCCGCTGGACCAGGCTCGCGTTGCCCGCGCCTTCGCCGATGGCCATGTTGCCGGCGAGGACATCCCTGACTCTGCTCGCCACGACCCTACGATGATCGACCAGGCCGACTCGGCTGCCGCGGCCGCAACCATCCTTCCGCCGCCTTCGCCGGAGAAGCAGCCCAAGAAGCGCGGCCGCCCGTCCAAGGCTTCGCTCGAGGCCGCCGCCGCCGCTGCCGCCGCCGAGGGATTGCCCCAGGGATCGCAGCAGCAGAGCTCCCAAAACGTAGCACCCAACGCTGTCGACCCCGCCTTGAGCCAATCGCCTCCCAAGAGGAAGCCTGGTCGTCCGCCCAAGAACGCCGCCGCGGAGCTGCCTGCTCCCTCGCAGGTTGTGCCGCAGGTCGCGGCTCCGGTTGCTCCGGCGCCAAAGAAGCGAGGCCGCCCTCCCAAAAACCCCGAAGCTGCGCCAACTCCGGCCGCACCTGTGATGCAGCAGGAGCCAGCCGTCGCTTCACCCAAGAAGAGGGGACGACCTCCGAAGAATGCAGCTGCCGCTCCTGCTCCTCAGGTCGTGCCGCCTCCGCAGCCCGCTGTTGCCGAACCAGCTCAACCTGCTCCCAAGAAGCGAGGGCGCCCGCCCAAGAATGCCGCAGCAGCGGCGCCTGCGAGTGTACCCGTCGTTGCGCCGGTAGCAGCCCCTGTTGCACCTGCTGTTGCGCCTGCCCCGCCCGCGAAGAAGAGGGGCCGACCTTCCAAGGCTTCTCTGGCCGAGGCGGCTGCTGCTGCCGCGGCGGCTGCTGGCCCGCCTGCCGTCCAGCAGCAGACTCCGGTCTACGCGACAACCGCTCCGGCTCCTGACACGGCTGCTCCGACGCCAAAGAAGCGCGGTCGACCTCCGAAGAATGCTGCAGCTGCTCAAGCCAGCCCGCTGGCACCGGCTGCCGCTCCCGCCACACCTGTAGCAGCGCCCGCCAAGAAGCGCGGTCGTCCGAAGAAGGAGGCGGCTGATACTTCGATGGGCCCGATCACGACTCCGCCGCTGCCGCCAGCGGCAGTGGCGCCGCAAGCGCCTGTGCTCGCTCCTGCTACTCCGCCGAGCGCTACCAAGAAGCGCGGCCGACCTCCCAAGGAGAAGACGGAGGGTGAGGAGGCTGCCAAGCGCCCGCGCGGTCGCCCGAAGAAGTCGGACGTCGCGGCAGCTGCTGCTGCTGCTGCTGCCGGTGCTCCGGCTGCCGCTGCCCCTCAGCCATCTGCTGCTGCGCCGCTCGTCAGTGCAGAGCCCTCTTCGCCGGTCAAGAAGCGTGGCCGCCCGAAGAAGAACCCTTGATGGCAGCACGGCTTGCTCATCGGTTCTGTCTGTCTCGACGTGTCGCTGTTTGATTCGATTCGATTGCCT